TTGAATATTGGCATGTCAACCTTCCGGGCAGTGTGCATCATCTCATACCCGAGGAACCCGAGAAAGAGTACACTCGTCGACTTCAGGCGCACGGTAATTCAGTAGGTTAATAACTGCACATGAAAGGGAATGGCCTCCGGATGGTTGAGCGCGTTCCGCTGAGGAACAGAAAACCGAGAAATAAGCGGAAAAAATGGTGGTGAGAGGCCGGAAGAGCGAGGGATAGAGTAAGCCGGAAAAAAAAACTGAAAGAGCCGTGTCACCGGCAATCGATCATCGTTCGATCTTATCCCCGAAGAAAATTGTGCTTGCTTATGGTCGCCGCTGGCTCTTCTCAGAAATACAAATTTGCGATTGAATCATCGGTGAGATTATCTTTCCTGGAGGAGGTACAAACTAAAAAGCGTATCATCGAGAAGATATAATAAGATTTGAATTTTCGATCGTACGATCAAAAGTCAATGATGGTCTTACGAGAAAATGTGAATTAAGAATAGGGAGGAAGAGAGACAGAGATATAGAAAAAAGCTTGATGCAGGAAAATGAGAAACGCTGCTTTGCATAATTTCTATAGGCATAATTTTTCTCATCGCGCTTCCGTGCGCTGAAATTTACGTCGAATAAGGATTATCCAATCTCACAGGAAAGCGATTCAATCGACAATCGTTCAATATCTTCGCCGGACGGCTGTTTTTTCGATTGACGGCTCGTCGCCGCGTTTGATCGAGAGCTTCCAATCTCATTTAACTTTGACGTAGTTTTATCGAAGCACTTGACAATTTTTATTTCGATTTTCGACGATAACGCCCATATGACTCCTGAATTGGATCGATGTTGCGCGCGGTGATTGACTTTCGCGAGAAATTTGCGGACTCGAGAGTCACATTTGTAAAAATCATTATTAAAACTGTTATGTCACCTAGATACATTTACATATTATATCTGATATTTTAATAAGTGATATAATATAATATAAAGTTAATATTTAATATTTATAATTCCACACAATTTTAAACATAACTCAAACTGTCGCGTCATTCAACCAGGATTATATTCGAATATGTCCTATTTAGCTTAACGTTTGATGTACATATTGTTCGAAAGTTCCAAAGCTATAACAACATCACGAACTGTCAGAGATACCTACAACTGACACTGTACTATACTGACAATCCCTTTAAACTTCCTAAAGCCTATTCAGTCTACAATACAGGAAACTACTCCGTACAGGATTAAATCGAAAAAGTTTAAAAATTCAAGAACATTTCTCAATTTAAAATCGATTTTTACACGAAAAGAATAATTTTGCTGCGTATTTAAAAATTTGGTCAAATATAATTCTGAAAATAATTTTATTAAACCAATCAAATTATCATGTAGAACGATTGAGCATGATACTAATATTGCACATTTTTTTATATTCTGACTACCAATTTAGTTATCTTAACTTTAGTTGTCTTAATTATTTTGACAGCTTAGAATTATTTTCAGATTTGTATTTATACAAATTTGTAGACACTTTAAAATTACTCTTTCTGTATTTAAAAACAAATGTTTTTATCAATGTTTATTTAAAAAATTAATTTATTATTAATTCTGACTATTTTTAAATATATCAATGTATTTAAAACCGAGTAATTTAATGTGCATATACAAGACTATATTTGTTAAATGCAAATATTATCTTTTGTCATATATACATTTGAATTTTAATAATTTTATAAAAATATTTGCAATTTTTGTTATTCTTAACATCAAAATGTCTATTTGCGAAAAGATATTACATATGTTTATACATACGCAGATATATATATATATAT